ATATATATATACAGTATATATATATATATATATATATATATGTATGTATATGTATATGTATATGTGTATATATATATATATATATTTTTTTTTATTTATTCATTTTTTTCTTTCTGGTAACTGAAACAAAACAAATCAAAATAAAATATAGATTACATGGAAAAATAAATAAATAAATAAACATATTAGAAATGTTGCCACGAAAATGAAACAAATAAGTTTAGGTTGCAGTATTAAAATAAAGCTAATTCCAAAATAATAATTATTATTGGAATAGTATATAAATAATTGCATTGACAATTACATTTATGTTATAAAAGTTTAAATTTACTAAAATTGGAAAAAAAGCTAAAAACAAGTATTAAAGACTAATAAAATTGACAAAAGCACAAAACATAATTACTAAATCAGACTAAAATTAAAATGAAGACTGAAAATATAAAAATATAGCTAATTCAAAATATTAATTAATACTATAATAGCATATAAATTATGGTCTTGACAATTAAACAAACACGCTTAAGTTAAATAGAAATATAAAAAGTAATACAACTAACAAAAGCACATAACAAAATTATTCAAATGTACACTAAAATTAAAATGAAAACTGAAAATATAAAAAAAAAAAATAACCCCATTTCAAAATTTTTATAATATAATAGTATATAAATAATACTAAAATAACACTAATCAAAATTGTACGTGTAACACAAAAGAAGATTTTTTTTTTTTCTTTTTTTTCCCTCCATACAATGAAAGTGAATGGGGAACAGTGGAAAGCCCTGCTCACCATTCAGTTTCATTTGGAGAAGAGACGCTTGGACATTCTGCTAGATAACTCCTTTTTTTATTTTTAGCTGAACTGTCCCTTTAACATTGGCCCAGAGGTGAAAAACAGTGTGTATATGTGTGTGTGTCTCAAACAAAGACAAACCCTGAGCACAACAGCATCAAGGCACTTACCAAGATTCCATAATCAGACAATTAATCGATCCTTAAACCAACAATTGGTAATAAACAAAGACAGCGTGGGTGGATGGTCAAGACAATGTTGTTAATGAAAATAATTGTTAACTGTTAATGAAATAGATAGAGGATAGAGGAAATAATTAGCAGCAGAGCGAGAGGACAGATAAGGGAGGGGGCCGGCTGTCTGCTGTGGCATGATTGCAGGTAAGAACAGTCTGAAATGTAGGGCAGAACTCACAACAATCGCCAACAGCACCATGGGGTGGAAACAAAATGGAGGACCGACATCGAAGATGTGTAAACTGATGTCAGTGTCAGCCGAGTGGAAGATTCACACTGAGGTGCAGGTCTCAGAACAGGTTTAGTACTCATTCCCACAAAAACAGAGACAGAACAGGGTGCACACACACACACACACACACACACACACACACACACACAGAATGGTGCAGTCAGGAAATATACATGAGAAGAGTATGGGCAGGAAGTGACAGATTTGCTCTGTTCCAACCTCTAGGCGAGCTGCCTATCTAGACAACATTTTAAGAAGCGTTTTTGTCATGTGTACTTCAAAAGAAATATCCATTGCAATGAGCTCTATGAAAATTTTCAGAGATGGTGGGTGGAATAGAAAGAAATGTCAATTGTGTCAGGGTCCTGATCAAACAAAAGGGAAATCAGTTGCCTTGGGAAACAGTCAATTATTCAGTTTAGCTTCATTATACAAAAATATTTGACTTTAGAATGTCACAATGGACCAATCAGAGTTCAGCATTCCAGAGACCTGAGTAATAAGTATTTTTTTTAGAACTGAAAAGTACTCAGTATGTGTATTTTTTGTTCATTAGAGTAACTGGCTTAGCAAAAATGGAAACATTCAGTTTTGTCGGACTGTTTGAAGCAATATTTGCATGGTACGTGTGAGTGAGTGTTAAGGTACGACCACACTGGATATCGTGTTCATTTCCATTTATATCCATGCGTATGTGGGTGAGCGGAAATGCTATCGAATGCAAAGGAGGTTTGCCATGAACCAAAGTTCAAGTTTCTTGAACTCTGATCAGCCAATTCGTATAACAAAAAGACATTTAACCAATAGAGGATGTGAAGCCACAGATTGACCTCTTGGCTCAATACACGGAATACAAACTTCAAAGTTTAATGGTAATGTGAAAGTAGGGGAGATTTTAACATTCAGATTTTAATATTATTTGCGATTGATAAATTATTTAAAACAAAAGCCCGAGAGCATGACATTACACTCTGTTGGCCGCATTCATTGTGAGGTCCGAAATCATTTTGCATACTTAAGGTGTTTTGTAGTTTTTAGTCTGTTTGTTAGCTTTGATTTTATAGTGTACTCTTACAAAATGAATCTACTGTTCAAAAGTTTGAGGTTGGTAGTTTTTTTTTTTAAACGTCTTATGCTTTTATTTATTTGATAAAAATACAGTAAAATACAGTAAAACAGTAATATTGTGAACTTTTATTTTAATATATTTAAAAAATTGCATAAAATCTGCATAAATAATAATAACAATAATAATGGTAACACTTTACAATAAGGTTAATTAGTTAACATTCGTTAACTACTTTAGTTAACATGAACTAAGCATGAACAATAATTCTACAGCATTTATTAATCTTAGTTAATGTTAATTTCAACATTTACTAATGCACTATTAGAATCAAAAGTGCTTGTTAACATTAGTTAATGCACTGTGAATTAACATGAACTAACAATGAACGACTGTATTATCAGTAACTAACATTAACAAAGATTAATAAATACTGTAATAAATATATTGTTCATCGTTTGTTCATGTTAGTTAATAAATTAACTAATATTAACTAATGGAACCTTATTGTAAAGTGTTACCGTAATAATAATAATAATAATAATTTTACTGATCGCAAACCTTTGAACGTTACTGCATCCACATTTTTGGCCAATAAAATCCTATTTAAAATGAGTATATCCCCTCCTTCTGAAACCATCTTCCATGGACTTACAACAAATAATATTCATGGCTGTGATGTAACGTCAAGGCTATTGGCTATTTAAAAAAGCGATGAGCCCTTCCATATGCCCTGCCCTTACTTCCTGTTTCAACAGGAAATGTGTCAACACTGGAAAGAAAATTGCACTTTTAAGCCACTTTATGGGGTCTTGAAGGCCTAGTATGACCACATTCTCATTACAGTCGCTGCCTATGTAGAGAACAATTCAAATCTGTCACTTAGCCTCGGCAGATAGCCACCAATGTAGACAGTATCAACGAGACAGCTCACTAGGGTTTGGAACAGATTGTTCAAATCATATAGCCAGCTGTAGATGATATGAGGCTGAATTATGCCTGGTTAAAGCTCAGTTCCAAGTCTTGCAAAAGTTTGAAACTGAATACTCAAGAGACTGGCAAGAGGACCAAGTACGGCCGAATATCTGTGATTGGCTGGCTGAACCGAATCAGGCTGCGAGCTGATTGGCACCACAGAGAGAGGCCACGTGAGTGGAACCGGCTCTGCCTAACAAAGCAGCCATCTTACAGAGCTGCCAACTGCCACCAAACCCAGGGAGTGACTGCTACAGACACCACTGAGCAGCATCCAAAAGCAGACAACAAAACAGAAGGGATTAAAAAGAAGAATGACGCCACTGGCAGATGACAAATTAGAGAGGAGGGACCAGAGGAAGTGTGTGGAGGGGGGATCTGAGGTAGGCTCAGAACACCTGCAGCTGCTTTTGATGAACACATGACAATTTGGAAGGATATCAACCGAGAGTACAGGAACAGATGAAAAAGAGAAAGAACGTAACATGGCAAAAAAGAGAAAGCTTGTAAAAAGAGACACTGAAGCACCTGGAAATGGGAGAGAGCATTTGGCAGGGGGTCAGGCAGTTACCAGCTCTACAAATCGTTACTCTAATCCAAAATAACGTACAGAGAAAACACAGGGGTTAACCTGAAGGAAGGAAGGAAGGTAGGAAGGAAGGAAGGAAGACATAAACAAAAAAGGGTCTGAAAGAAAAAAAAAGGTTTCAAACAGTATGGAGGAGTCGCTTTGGATCTGGAAGGACAGATACAAAATTAATCGCAAACAATAGAGAAATTAATAAATGATGGCACATGAGAGAGGGTGGAATTGCACAGATGGGTGCGCGTGTCGGCGGAGGATATGGGTTTAGTGGGAGAAATGACTTCCTGTCCAACAGAAAAGTAGAGCGGAGGAGCGCTCGACGTAAAGTGGCTCGTGCGAGTGCGGGCGAATAGAGAATAGAGCGCGTGCACGCGTGCATGTGCCGCATTTAGTCGGCGAGCGTGTTTCCCTTGGGGTAGAAGTGATCAGATTAAAGGATGGTTATTAATTTCTCAAATAGACTTAATTGGAACTTTTAGCAGGACAGCTGGTGAAGATCTGCTGTTTTTCCTCAAGTGAGAGTTGCGTGCGTGTGTGCGCATTTGATATGCATGCATGAGGTCTTCTGTGCACTGGGATTAGTGCGTGGATGCAGGGCCGTACGTATGATGGGGCTTGTCGGCGTTATCTGAAACAAGAACCAAATCTGGAAGGAGGTTCGGTAATAAGCCAGAGAAAGCAAGAGAGAGAAAGGTAAAGAGAGAAGGAGGGATATAAACATCAAACATGAGCACTACACAAGGTGCTGGGTTAGGAGAGGAGGATGAGGGAAGGAAAGGAAACAGAAAAGGAAGTGGGGGAGGAAGAGGAAGAGGAGGAGGGCGGGGCGAGCTGTGGTTTTTATGTTCATTGTGGTCTTTACCTTTTTGGTCCACTTCTATTCAAGCATCGGAAAAAAGAGAGAGAAGACAGAGAGAGCAAAAGAAAGAGCGAAAGAGAGAGAGAGAGAGTGAAGATAATGAAAGAAAAAACAGGTGTAGGAAAAAAGAGAAAATTGAGATTAAATAAAAGGCTATCCTTTCTCAAATCACGTCATTCTGTCAGTGTGATGTAGGCTCTTTACAGAGAGGATGACTCGAGTGAGTAATGAGAGGGGAGAATGGCCTCAACTGCTTTCACAAAGTTTCGCAAAACCCCTTCCAGTCTTCCTGTCACATGACACACATACACTTCCCCCAGTCACACGCACTCCACCCCCTCTCCCCTCCATCCGTCTGTCATTCCTCTATCCATGCTTCTGCATCTTTGGGCTGCTGTGAGAGAAAGAACATGATGTATATTCGAAACGGCATAGCAGGCATACCAGTTTTGCAGTATACAGTGTGTATACTGTGCGCAGTATGTAAATTTTAACCTGGAATACCTGCATGGCTTGGCACATTTGCCGAAGATGTGTGCAACAGAGTGCACTGTGTGGAATAATGTATTCCATAATGCAGTGCACTGTACTTGACTTTCTATGTTTAGCACCCAAATGTGCAAGTATGTGGATGTAAATGCTTCCAGTATGCAAGTTCTGTTTCATTTGACGTGTTGAGAAATGTGTCAGGTTGCAATTCATAATGCAACGCAAGTTCTTAGCATTGTCACAAGGCTGTATTACAGTGAACATTTTTTTAGGCCCCAAAATGTACAATGAAGAGGAATGTGAATGCAAATGCTTCTAGTATGCAAGTTCTATCTCATTTGTCACGCATTGCGAAATGTGTCAGGTCGCAAATCATAACGAAATGCAACACAACTTGTTAGCATTGCTATAAGGCTGTTATAGTGAACATTTTTAAGCCCAAAATGTGTCAAATGCAGAGGTATGGGGATGCAAATGCTTCTAGTACGCAAGTTGTAATTCATTTGTGATACATTGGCCACAATTCGCAAACACACTGCAAGTTCTTAGCATTACCACAAGGTTGTTATAGCAAACAATTTTAAGCCCAAATTGTACAATGCACAAGTATGTGAATGCAAATGTGAGGTACGCAAGTTCTATTTAATTTGTCGCGCATTGCGAAATGAATCAGGTTGCACTTCATGATACAACACAAGTTCTTAGAATTGCCATAAGGTTGTAATAGCGAACAATTTTAGGCCCAAATTGCACAATACACAAATATGTGAATGCAAATGTTTCAAGTACGCAAGTTCTATTTAAATTGTCATGCTTTGAGAAATGTGCCAGGTTGCAATTTATAGTACAAAGCAAGGTATTAGTTAGCCCAAAAGGTTAGCAAATATGTTTAAGGCCCAAAATGTACAACGCACAAGTATGTGAATGTAAAATCTTTTACTACGCAAAATATATTTCATGTGTAATGCTTTGCGAAATGTGTCAGGCCACAATTTGTAGTGCACAAGGTTGTTATGGCAAATCTTTTTTTAGGCCCAAATGTACAATGCACAAGTATGTGAATTTAAAATACTTTAGTATGTAAATAAATAAATAAATAAATTGGCCTATGCAGTATATGCTGTGTAGTAAGATGTGTGCTAGTATGCCATTTCGAATATATTTCCAAGTGTGCTGGAGTCTTCTGCAGCTGTGAGGAGGAAAAAAGGGTTAAAAAAAAGAGACAGATTGATGCAGTGATGAAGAAGAGAGAGAGAGACAGAAGAGAGGTGATGGATAGGCTGATTTCTCTCTGAACCTGAAGGGGCTGGTTCTGGCTCGGCTGGGATTGGGTGAGCGATCTGTTCTTTCTCTCTCACAGAGCTTGACCACTTATCGCTTCTACTCACTGAATCCATCAAGATCCAGCTGCCAGTCACTGATTGCGGTCTGTGGGACCATGTGGCTTGGCTGAGGTACATTTTTGAAAAACAGAAACTGGCTGAGAGGAGGAGAGAGGCCATTATAGTAAGGAAGAAGTTGGAGAGGGAAAAAAAATAGAGAGAGAGAGGTTGGCAGAACAGAGGAACATTTCATTTCCACTGCCTGCTGGAAAAAATAAGTTTGAGGTACACGTTTGCGGTGATCAGTCTGGTTTTGGGAATATGGTAGATGGTTTGGTCCTGGCAAAAGGTCAGTTAAGCTAAGACGGTTAACCCACTCTAACCAGCTTGTCAAACATGGTCTGCCAGGTTGACCTTGTGCTAGTCACATATAGCAGGACTTTTGACTATCAGAGTAAAAGCTGCTCCACGCTGCAGCTTATTCTAACCAGGAACCGACTACTTAAGATGAAACAACAATTAGCACATTTTCACAAAAAGTTCCACTGTTCATTGTCAATAGAAAGTCACTTTCAAACCAAGCTGCTTTTTGTTCGTCAACGCAGCAAGGCCAACTTGAACCTTCTGCTAAATCTGCTTGGGGAAATTTTCCGCCCTCATACAATTTTTTTTTTGTTTGTTTATTTAACAGGGACAATGCAGAATAATATTACAGATGCTCTACATACAGGCTTCTAGTCAATGGCTAATTTGCAGCCCCAGTCCCTTGTTAGGCTTTTAAAATACAATTAAATATTACATAAAGAATGTAAAATAACAAGTACAATAAACGTAAAAACAATCTAAGGCCCTGTCCACACGAACGCGGTTATTTTTGTATGCGGTTTGGCCGTTCGTCCACATGCAAACGCAGCACCAGCAATGTAAAATCTAATTAGTTGGGCTTACTTAAAAAAAAGCATGCAAACCGATTGCCTTGAAAAAACTAAGTAAAGTAAAATAGGAATAGTATGTTGTACTGACCAAATGCTTAGTTAGTATAGTTTACTTACACGAGAGTTCTAGTAACTAAAAAAGAACTGTAGGGGGTACTTGATCCTTTCATTTAGGTTTACTCATGACTTAGTATAGCTACTCACTGACTCCCAGAGTGCATTGCGGCAGAATAAATTATGCAGTTGCTTTGTTTTACAGTTGTTGATTTTATTTGCTGTCTTGTGTCAGTAGTAGCACAACAAAAAGAGCAAATAAAATGGTTATTGTTATAATTAATGAAAATAAATTAAATTGTTACCATTGTTGTGATTCACGTGCTGAATGTTTAAGTCTGTGTGTGACTTTAGCATATTACCTCACACTGTTTAAGGATTATATAAACCCAATTAAAAGCATCTCAAGGTATTTATGAAAAATTAAATTTGAAAAAGTTCACGAATAAACACAAAGAAAATACACTAATGATTTAATTTGAAGATAGGTCACCTTTTAAAAGCAACCTATTTATTAGTTAAATCAAATAACTCTGACTTCATGATGCATTGCTGCATTAACAGGAAGAAAAT